ACCTCGAAATCAGTGAGATTCACCTGAAAATTGGAGAACTGAGATGAAAATGAACACCGACAATGACTAAAACTAATAAGCATAGAACAGCGGTCCCCTTTCGATAAAGCAATGGTCCCCGCAGCGAGAAACTGCCCCTTTGAGGAGAATTTGGGTGTGACCAAGGGAGGAGGTCAGGGAGGGAATTTGTATTTCGTGCAGTGTTATGTTAACATCATTTTGAACGAAGTGTTACTGCCCGATTGTGTCACAGATATATAAATATCTGGTTTATGATAAATACTGTATTACGGTAGGTACGAGTATTACGGTAGATACGAGATGTATATCACGTGCTCACTGCGCTTTCCGATCGCACACGGAAATTCATTACTTTTCATAGATATCAATGAAATACCCATACTACCCAGGAGGAATGTTACTCTTTCCAATCGTCTTTTAAGATTGCTTTCGCCGTGGAAACAATAAGTTTTTGTCAATAGCTGGCGGGATAACGATGGCGTTTCAGATCATCCAGGGGGCTAATCCGGCTCCAAAAGGTGAGCATCAATAGGGGATAAATGTTAAGCGGCAGTCAATCGGTAAACAGCAATTCATCGATCGCTACAAATCAGAATCAATTTCTTGCTTCAGCACACACGCACACATTCACATTGTCATTTTATTATTACTACTATGTCCTCTTTATACACTGCATAAGCAATCGGAAAATTTTTCGTTTTATTAAAAATAAAACAAATGACAATATTCAGATTTTTTTCGTAAACTCTGCAAATTGCTTTAAAATTGCATCAAACAAAATTACAAATTAAAAATAATACAAAAACACGGTTAACGAATTCCAAACAACAGGCAGCTATAGAAGCAACAAAAAATTGCATGAGCAATATTAAAGTAGTAAAAATTTACACTGTTTACGATAAAAAACGATACACGTACATAATCAATGTGGGATCAGATGTAAACGATGAGATAGAGTAGAGAACAGTCTCGAAACAGTCAAGTAATTCATTTCTGAGACGAATAAGTGAACGCCTAAGGCAATCGTTGATAGCTGGTAATCAAACGATAAGACATCATCAAACATAAAGGCCAATACGATAAGATAATGAACAAGATAATCAGACGATCAGATTTGAGGCAACCGTTGATAATTGGTAATCAAACAATTGAAAGATGAGATGATGCAGAACAAGGATCTTAACTGAAAAAGATGAAATTCTATTGGTGTCTATACAATAACCAAGGATCATCGAGTATTGAGCGAATGCATAATTGAAAGTAAAACTGATCAGTGAAGTGAACAAACTCGATAGAATACAATGAATAAATCAACCTTTCACTTGAATAAACATTTACAAGTATAAATATTATAATCGTAAGCAATTCAATTTTGAGAGAAAAACAAACACATATGGCATATGGACAATACCAAAAGAAAATTCAGAAGTTGAAACCATCAAAGGAATTGAGGGATTGACGATACGACGATATCAACGACCAACAACAACTGAAGGCATAAGCGAGTGGCTGTTGAGCAAAGAAATGATGAGGAGTGATCAAAATGATTGAAAGTTTCACTTACAATAAACACTTAAATGATACGAATGATCCTAAAGCAACGTATGTGCCATCATTGACAATCAGATAAATGAATTGATAAAAGCCGATTCTATGATTCGAGAAGCGGATATGACAAAATGACAAAAAATAGTCACAAAGTGAATGCCATCGAGGATTAGTATAATGACTGAATCCAACAATGCAAAACAAACAAACGCTCCAGTTCTAGAATTAAATGAAAACTCTCCCAAATGAAGGTAACAACGCATCAATGCATAGCTAACACACTAAAGAAACAACCATCAATTAATCAAAAATTAATTCTTTAAAAACGATCAAATATTCATCAAAACCTCAGCATGCACCGGTACGACAAGCAGTTCATGTTTTGAATCCACTCGATAGCCGTTATAATGAATAGCCGCTTGGGCAGCGTGGAATTTGTTGGCGAATTCAATAAGGGCATACTGTGCGTTTGTATTGTTGTTCGTCGACGGTGTCAGGTGTTCGTCACCATCACAACATTTATCCTTACCCTCTTCGCACAAATCAATCGATTTTATGATCAAATTTGCGAAGATCGCTCCTAATTGGTATTTGTTCATCGCTGACGGGAATCCTTTCACTTTCACCGCTGCTATCGGAACTCGTTGTTCCACTGAAATGAATAATCATTCGTTCGAGTTCATTCAGTTCACGAAAAGCGCTCGCCAACTTCACACCATAACACTTGATCACAAAAAAAAAACAACGAAATTGCTATAATAAACCAACTTTTGACTCGTTCGTTCAGAATTCGTTCCATAACATTTTCGATTCCATTCATACTCAAATGTCCGCTTCTACGCTGTCCACTCTCC